TGAATGATTCGTGAGATCTAATTGTTCAAGTTTTTGTAACCGACTTAAAAAGAAGGAGGTTTCTCAAATCGACCCTATTTATTTTTTATAAGTGTTCGCCGATAACTTCGTCGTTTCTGAACCGATTTTGATGATTATTTTTATGCTACACTTCAGGCCAAGCATTATGGAATATCGTCTACGCGAAGAAACGAGAGGGGAAATTTGAGGTTATTTAAAAAATCCTGCTAATATCATATAAATTTTTCCACCCTAGGTCCTGGCCTATTCGGCCTATAGGGGAATCCACCACTGTCTCTAACAACTAACTAAATCACAAAGCAAAATCAAGAACTTCCGTATATCGAGCAACATTAAAATAATACTTACGGTAATTCTCGAACGAAGAAATTCGCAATATTATTATAATAACGCAAATGGCGTTTGATCTTTAAGCAAACTTGTGAAACATAGCTGTAACGCATTTTAGAAATTTAACAACGCCATCTAGTTTATTTCGCAGGAATTAATTTCTTATCTGCAACTTCCTAGGCTGGATTTTAGTTCTATCAATTGAAGAATTTGTTAACTATTTTATTATTAAATTGTTTGAGTGAACTGATTGCAATCAAAGGAAATTTGAATATACCGAGGAAGTTACACTAACATTCTGTCAAAAAACCCATACAAATCGATCCTTTGGTTTGTGAGTACTCGCAAAGCTTCTGTTTGAGAAAACCGATTTCAATAAAACAAAGCCTGAATATTGCGCAGATGAAATCTTCATATACTTTCAAAAACACCGACAAAACTGATCCAGTACTTAACTGTGATAACACAATTTCCGTCCGCATTGCTTGAATGTCTGTACTCTCATATATTGTTACAATTATGGTACATATTTCATCAAATTAATAATTTATCAACAAATTTATTAGTACAGTTTGTTGTGACTTATTTAAAAGTTGTTGTTTTGATACCTATTGCGTCGTGATATTTCCTACACCCTAGAGTGGGGGGTGGTTGGTATTTGTTTTCGAGGGGTATAAATTCGTGGGTTAGTTTTTGATTATTAGAAGTTAAGGCTGTTGCTCTGTGGGAAAAGCTAAGTACTATTGTTATCCAATTATTGAGTCATCGTTCAGTTATAGTTGTATAAATCGGTAAAAGATATGTTTTGTAACATGTTTCTAATAATTTCAGAGATATAGATAATAATTACTAAGATTTTCAGAAGTAGGATGTAAGTATGCATGCCCAAGTATACCTACAAAAGTGGCGAGAAAGCGAGAACGATCAAAAAAGTCGAAAAGCCGAATTCAGGAAAGTCATTGTGAGCCCGTTCCATATACAAGTAGTGTCACTGCGAAGGCCCATGTGACCTGGGTCTGACCCCGAGAAAGGTGATAAGTCCGCATCACATGGATGTGATGGAGACCATACACAGTTAAGAGAATTGCTCAACGATTTACAGCAGTTACAGTTTTGTTAGGCTTACTTAATTCGATTTAATATGCCAAAATGTTCTGTTCGTGCAGAAATAATACCTAGTTACGATCGAAGCTGTACATGGTAGTACCACCTAATTAATTTTCGTAATCTCGTCATCTTAAGCAACGTGGTGTACTCAATTATTCTTTTCATTTTTCATTAGTTTCGATTTTATTTTGTTCTAAGCGTTTCCGTCTATTATTTTCTCTCTCAAGTAGCCGTCATTTCCTCATCCGAAAACCATCCTTGTTGGGTCTACCCACCGATATAAAAAAAAACCGACTTCAAACAGGAAATTAAACGGTAAAAATATGCACAAAGTAATTCGGTTTTTCGATTTGGTTACTCAGAAATTATTAAAGTAGTATTTTATGACTTGCAATGTAATTACACAAAATGGCGTAATTTGAATGCCTCAGTTTCAATGCGCTATCGGCAAATCCACCTATTATTTTTGCAATTGGATTTGGGGATAACAAACAGCTACAATATATGATATATACAGATCTGTTGAGGTAGTAATAATATTGCAGCACACTACATTATCAACATATTAAACATACATTAGTATTTAAATAGAACCTACTAGAAACGCCACAATAAAAAAATACAAATATATGGCACAAAGATTTAAAAAAAGAAACTCTTCATAAGTATTAAAAAGTAAAACTTAACTAATTTAATTTGGAAACTATTTGGTTCTTATACTTACATTAACAAATATATCAATATCAATAAAATTGCAGTTATAGGATTTACATGTTGTATATACTAACATATTTAACGGTGGTAGGGCCACGCAACAGCCTCGGCTGTTGCACGAATGGGCAGGCCCGTCCGGGTAAGTACCACGACCTCACAGAAGTCCGGCGTAAAGTGGAAGTATGACAAATACTTTCGCGTTTCGTCTGGTGAGTGAGGTAGCCGGAGCCCAATTTTCAAAAGGTTGTCAACGCATCTGTAACCCTCGGGTGTAGCAGATGTCCATGGGCGGCGGTATTCACTTACCGTCTGCTCGTTTGGCAACTTTTCACATAAAATAACATATTTTAAGTATACTTGCCGAACTAATTCAGGACATTGTAGTCCTGAATATTCATATACATTGTAGTTCGGCGAGTGTTGGTGGCAAAGAGAGTGCCATATGTATGTCTTGCCACAAATTATAGCAATTTATAGTTGTTTGGTAATTTTGATTAAGTTGTTTTTTTGATTGTCATAGTATGTTACTACTTAACATCTACTTAAATCGCTTTGTTCTTGTACGTGGAACGTCGCCAGCATAAGCCCGAACGCCTGGTTGTGAACGCCGAACGCCGATGAAGGAAAGGGGCGGCAGGAATAAGCAACTCTAACGCAGACTCTCCAAAATGTATTCTGCAGAAAACCGAGAGGCTGGCTACTCTGCGCCTGTGCTCAAGACTAGTGAGATTGGTTTTAACCAAGTTACGAGGTAGTGTACTTAGCGCGTTTTTTTTTTAATGTGGTTCCCGGGTAGGCCTATTCCACTGATCTGTTGTGATTTGTTTAATTTGGAGCTATTGAAAAACTATAGATATTGGCAAGGGTTGAAAATGAAAAGAAATTATCAATTTAATGCTTCAATACTTAATATAATAAATATTAAGTATCGAGGCATTTTTTATAGATAATTATCTAATCTACAATTTTATCATCTAATTTTATGATAAAACTTACCGTTTTGTTGAAAACTGCGAGAAATCTGTTTTTGTGACCTTTGACCCCGAATAATTTTTTTTTGCACGTGCCGGATCGATGAGGACTTTTCACATTTCCTTTATAATAGTGTAATGAACGATCCTATCAATTTTCAGCCTAATGGGAATTTTTGTAACCTCACCCCTCTTTTTTAGTCTAATTTGACCGGACTACAACAACTTTTTACCATATAAAAGAAAAGAAACCAAAATTTGTGTATTAAGATTCCAATTCCTATCGAAAGTATAATAGATACTGAAATATTTCAAAAATCTTAGAATTAATAAGTGTAAAAATCAAAAGGTTTTAAGAAAAACATTACATTGCCAAAAAAAAATAATGTGTTTCTGTATTACACTGTCATATTAGATAACTATTCTGTGAATTAAGAATAAATTATGCAAATTATACAACTAGATACTTTATGGATATGAATTCGATTTTGGGGATAGAAATAAAAATGCTCATTTGTTCCACGTACATTTATTACATAAAAATACCTAAACAATTAATTCTAAACAGTAATATCACAAATTAAAAGGACCTTCAATCCAAAAAAAATTAAAAAGGGAGTCCCTATAGCCGAAACGGGGCTTTAGGGGCCCAGGACAATTCTTGTAGAATCACAAGGGTAATAAGCTCACAGAAGAGTTGCCGCATGGCTATGCGACTGCCTTGCGGCATCATATACAACATCAAGTGAATATATAATGGCGGCTGTACGGAACGCGCGGATCCAGTCCGAACAATAATGGACTTTAATTAGTCGATAATAAGGGATATATGAGATGGACCTTATGAGCCCCGCTGCCGTTCTAACTTAGCTACAGTACGGCCGCCAACCTTCGCCTCGTCATGACTTCTACCTTGGTTTATTCCCTATTACTATGCAGGGAATCTCCGGGGTCAGTTGTAATTTGGGGATTTGAATGATCGTTTAGTGATTCATTTTTCGCTTCACGCCGTTATGAGCGTAAGGCGCATCCCAATTACAAAAGATATGACGGGTCGAAAGATTCGTAAACATTAATCTTAATACACTTTAAACAGGCCCCTAGTGTTGGCCTAGATTACAGTAAAATTTCCCAAAAACACGACCTGTAATTTAGACCTGTAATCTGAAATACAATACTTAAATGTTTTATACCGAATACAGATTTTGGTTAACACTAACATTAATACTATTGGCACACGAGAGATATTTATTGTTATTACATATATGTAGGAAACCTCACAGGCGAGGCGAAATATGTTGAAAAGGAAGCAGGAACATAAGAGACGGTGGTAGGGCGACGCAACAGTCACAACCACACGCATCATAAAATACGAAAGAATCGATAAATCGATATGTGTGCTTGAAGCACGGCACTGCATCTTTGCCTTCGCGCCGTGGTAAGCCTGCGCCATACGCACGACGGTCATTTGGCCGCTAAAAAGGAGGGACGTTTGACCGTTTGCGACGAATATGGCTGGATCCAGAGTGGATAAGCGGGATCCAGAGTGGACGCAACGGGATCCGGGCTAGCTACGCTGATATTTTATATGAATGCGCCGGGACAATGGTAAACGCGCCGCTTAGTTGGATTCCGGCGAACGCAGAGGCGGCAGTATTCAAAAACCACGATCTAAAATCCCAAAAAAAAAACATAATATAACAAAAAACGAGGGCTCTTCAAATACGGCCTTACGCTTAAATTCAAATAAACATGTTTCGTTAGCGAATACAGGCGCACGCTTTCGTTGGAAGGTGACCGCAGAGCGTGGGGCCGCGTGCTGAATCCCGACAGCCTCAAATTGAGCCCTGGAGCCTAATCAGAGGGCTCTGGCCGCCCAGGATCGCGGGATGGAGGCATGATGATTGGCAGCCCCAAGCCGCAGGTCCTGATGGACAAGAAAGCTAATTTTGTGTGCTCTTAAGACAACTTAGGGGGGGACAAAGGAGGGGGATGAAGAAAAAAAGAAACAGTTCTGGTGGCTATTCAGATAGAGAAAAAAGAAAAACTGGTATTCGGAGTTAAGGGGTTGAAAAGTACCTGGCTTTTTCCAGATAATACAAGACGAGGCGCGGCGTCCCGGCTCGGGCCAGGCAGCAGACCAATATATAATAAAGTAGGGCTCTGTAGTCAGCATTCACGTGACTTAGTGCCAGAAGAGTCGAGTCTCCGTGGAGATCCTCGGCTGATGCCTCCATTAGCTACGAAAAGAAATTAAAACAGAGAAAATAAAAGAATAAAAACCGGACTCCTCCGTTCATCAGTGATAAGAATCCCATCGAGGTAATTCTGACATAGGCGTTGAAGTAAGTTTTTCGACTTTTTTGTTAAAACTGAAAACACACGAAGGTCCCGAGTTCGATTTCTAAGCGGTTAAGACAAATATCCATCGGAGGAGTGATTTTAAAACCACGCATCAGTTCGCTGTTCACGAATGGGCAGGTCTGTCCGGGGAATACCCACGACCTTACAGAAGACCGGCAGAAACAGAAGTATTATATTTTGCATTTCGTCTGATGAATGAGGTAACCGGAACCCACTTTAATAAAATATGGTAACGAATCTGCAACCCCCCGACATTGCAAATGTCCATGGGCGGTGGGCTATCACTTAACATCAGGGAACCGTCAGCTCCTTAGTCACAAAAAAGATAAAATCGTAAAAGCGATGCTCGTCAAAACAAAACGTGAGTTTTATAGTTTGAGTAGAAAGATTGGCTGGCAGATGCGAATTATGGCCATTACGGGTGCTTCAGTAGATCGTATGAAATTGCAAGATATACTAACGTAAACCTGTACACTACCTTAAGTAGGATGTCGAGAGCTCGTACAAATGAAGACACGAGCGTCAGCTTGTCCAGACGCGCATCAATTCGATAGCAGAGATCAGGGTGGCACCGCCGAAACGGGCAATCAAAAGTACGAGCCACTGCTCCATTGGCAGAATCTTGCCCGCGATCCATTGAAAGTATAGTGGTGCAGATCTGCAAAGCGATTGAGGTAAGTCTGGTGCTGTGGTGCGCCGTTTTTAAAACCTGCCCACGACTACCTCTTAGGGACCTATACGGACCGTTCCCGCGACCCGGGAAGGGAGATGCATGGGCGCGGTCCCCGCGCCGGCCTCAATTATATACATACACTTTGTACACGCATTATGTACTCTTGCCTAATTTGAAATTGCGCCAATCCGTGGCACTCAACGGAACGCAAGGGACGCGTTCACTAGCGAAATGTGTGGACCAATGGGAGAACTTCTGCTTCTGTCTCGGTGATCGGCGGCTACGAACTTTTCGGACGGTTCATATAAAATATAAATGTGTGAATTTCTGTCTGTACGGTGTTAAATATTGGTGCATAAACTAACAATAAGTGCTCGGAAGCTGGAACTCTTCATATTGATGTCGGGACAATCGCCGTTGCCGCTGTTATCCACGTGCCACGAAACGACAATCAAGGTGCGTTATTTTGAATTCGGTCTTGGGTACCTAACGTGTGTACATGGCTAGGCTCGGAAGGTGCAATCTACCAGTCCTATAGAACATACTCCACTACAAAAACACAATCGAACACAGTTAGCCAAACTCCGCCCAGACCGGTGACGCTAGGCGAACGGCTCGCGTAATCTCTCCGTGCTTAATTGACCGGCTCCGCGGCCTGGTGGCGCTCGACTCAGGTTTCCCTCTTTCCGAGTTGCAGTAGCAAAATTTTTTTCACGTAGCAATCCACCGAGTACACGGAAGCAAGAGTTATTTTCAATGAAGTACCCCGCATACTTTGCCGCCTCGCACAAGTCCACCACCATGCGACACAAAACATTCAACAAATTGAATGTCGCATGCACCAATTTAGTACCTACTCCAATAACCAATATTTTTTTTCTTCGTTTTCCTCCTTTTTTTTCGACATTTCGCTCTTTCCCCGCTGCGGATTATATTCGTACGGAGGACAGGTTTAAGAGGTGATAGTGGAACACATCGAACTCGTTAACATTAGTGCAAACATATCACTTGATAAGTCTTTCTTCTCCACTCGGCCCGGAACCATGGACTTAATAATAAGAGGAGAATAAGAGGAGAATTTTCAAAAAAGAGTATTACGACCGCAACTACACGTCGACCTTGAAAGACTGGGGGCCAAGTACTCACGCGTTGAGCCACATAAACTCCCAGTGGCCCAGATGCCGCAGCTGCCTCCACAGGAGGGGAATCTCCGCTACCCGACGGTACGTCATCCTCGTCAAGGTTCTCTGGCAAAGGAGCGTTTGCAGCCTTCCCTCGAATAACGGAAACCATACGCCCTCGGGGTACACCTGTTGGAAAAATTCACTCGATAAGTCGCGCAAATCTCTTAAGATGCACAGACAACTTAACAGCTTCTACGTTTGGCATGCTAATTTTAGGAAAGGGATGTGCCGTTTATTTACATTTTGCGTATTGTGATTATATTTTAAAATTTTATTAACTGACCCACCTTCAGCTGTGTGTCCAGGATACGATCCATTATCGGAGTGGCGCCAGCGAAATACCTCACTACTCTCTGATCCCACAGGATCCCACGGAGACGCGGCTCCTGGGTCCCGGCTTCTAGTTCCCCCAGACTGGTCTCCTGCGAATTGAGCTGGCTATGACGCACCTTTCCAAGGATAGGAACAGGAGAATTTTCACAGCCATACGACCCAAAAAGTATGAAGAAATAAGGTCAGACAAACCTAAACTATAAACTTCATTAGTCTCAAGGGAAACCTTTTTTGTCTAAATAATTAAAAATAATACTAAGAGATTGTTTCTTTACTTCAACTATTCTTTAAAAAATATAATCTGATTATTAATATCACGAACGATTTGTCTGTCCTTGCACTTTTAAATAAAATAATAGTGGATTAGTACCAATATTCCCGAAATAGTGTAGATGTAGGAGAGTTGTTGTTTTTTACACGCCTTTAATTATCTCCTGATAGGCTTAGAGAGGCATTTACCGTATGAAATTCAAAAAGAGCAGTGTTGCTTGCGGAAGGCAAAGCAAGTTCACGTAAATTCACGCTTCCTAGCAGCTGCTACTCGTTTCGCTATGGTTTTTAACTGATGCAAAATGTAGTTAAGGGACAGATGTCTAGCTTGTATGTTTATAGTGAAGGGAAATTAATTTTAACAGGGAGGTTCGAACAAACGATCACAAATGCAGACAACAAGACTGAATGAAATAGGACACCATTAATAGTCATAAATTTAAAAGTCAATAAAACTTCGTTAACACACGGTAGCGCGACCGATTGTAACGTGTTACCGATTGTAATGTGTTACGTTACAATCGGTCGTAAACCCACTGTTAAGCGTTTTTTAAGTAGCGAATTTGATAACATTTGTTAATTATTATCAGCGAATGTATCTACGGCATCGTTATCAAATGAAAAAGTCAAATGCTCCTAGCATAATTCGGACGTTGTGTCATTCCAACAGACTCCACCTTAATCTATTCGGGTCTATTCGCCAAATTCTTACTTAATTCTTTCTTTAATTCTTCTTGTTCACTTTCACAACATTTTTACGGCAATTTGTTGTAGGGTAGTAAATCTATTATAAATTCTATATTTAGTCTTCAAAAAAGAGCTGTCCGAGCAATGTATAATACCGGAACCCGGAATACACTCAGAGATCTTTTTAAAGAGATTAATATACTCATTATGGCGCCTCAATAGATTTATTGTAAAATTTTGTGTATTATCACATAACTTTAATTATAACCTAAAGAATAGTGAAGATATAAATTAAATACTAGAAATAAGGGATAAACTAACTACGCCATTGTTTCGTCTACAAAGTTAATAGGTCGTTGATGGGACAAAGTGTGCGCATACATAATAAAAGTAGTAAATATTAAGTTGAAGTAAATTCCGACATTAAAATCGCACTGACCTTGTTGCCCGAAAAACCCACAAATTCCATGAGAGTAGCCAGTCGAGGTCGAAGCATCGCTATCATCAAGCTGTACGTGGCGAGGCCCAGGCGAACGCGTGAGTGAAAATGTTGGCGTGGCTCTTTCGTCTTCCATTTCTTTTTCTTTAATATTCTGGAGCATTCGCTGAGAAAAGAGAAGACGAAACGAAAAGTTATATTCAATGAAGAACTACATAAAACGGCCGTCTGCCAACCTCCGTATGATACAGTTACTTTATTGTAAGGCTTAGTCCAAACAAAGGTTTTTTTTTTTAATTGAAAGGTTTAATAATAACCTCCAAAATTGCCATTTAATCATATAACAACATTTAAACATTAAACATATTGGTGACGAACTATATAATGTTTAAGGTAAACAACCAAACAATTGCTCACTCCTTGACAGTAAACAAGTTGAATTGTCACAGTTCAGCGACCTATCGTGTTTGGAAATTGGAGTTTCAAGTAAATTACTTTCAAGTACTAGTACAAGTTTGTACTACCAGTTTCAAGTAATTTACTTGAAACGGGTAGTACAAACGGGTGCGCCAATCTGGGCAAATAACACGACCTCAAGGAAGATGGGCGCGAGGTGAAAGCAGTATACTTTGCACCACAGTGCACCATCCACTGAGTGAGCTAACCATGGCCCACGTTTTTGATGATTGAGAACGCGTTTGCACTCACTCAGGCGTTGCAGGTGTCCGTAAGTGGAGACAGTTACATAAAATGTGGTGAACCACCAGCTTGGCTGCCAACTTTTCACATAAAAAACAACTATACTGATAAATTAAAAGCAAAGGATGCTACGACTTCTTCTGTTTTTTTTTCAGTAGAATGTTTCTGAAATCTTGTGGGTAAGTGGCGAGGGGGCTACTCACTTTTTCGAAGTCTATGGCCCGTTGCTCGCCCTGCCATTGGCGGTAGCGACGTTCTTTCTTTCTTGGATTCTCTCCTTGAGGGTCGTGCGATGTGGATCCTTGAGATGTCGCGGATTCGCATGAGCACTGCAGCAATTGAAAGGCAATGTGCGATTAACAGCTTCATACTAACACCCGTAAACTTCCCAAAATATGATGAAACAGTTTTTTTTATTATCAACATGCATGTATGCAAGTAGCTAATATATATTTTCTTTTTCACTAATATCCTGGACCATTCTCTGAGACAAAAAGAAGAGGAAACAGTACCTTTAATGAAGAACTGCTCAAAACTGCCCTCGACCCACCTCCGTATCATTACTTATTATATATATATATATCATTCCGGTGTTTAAATCTTGTAGTACTTCCGACCCCAATAATTTTAGACCTATATCTGCTAACTGTTAGTAAAATTTTTGAAAAAATCGTGTTGAATCAAATGTTACAGCATTTTAGCTCTCATAATTTATTACATAGCCAGCAATATGGGTTTACTAGGGGTCGCTCAACAACTGATGCGGGTGTTCAGCTCGTAATGAATATTTTCGAAGCCTGGGAAGAGTCGCAAGATACCTTAGGTATAATTCTGTGACTTAACCAAAGCTTTCGATTGTGTACAGCATGAGATCTTGGTCAGGAAACTACGCCACTATGGTATAAGAGATGCCGCACTCAATCTTCTGAGCGATCAAATTCTGAGAGTTGACATGAATGGCTCGAGATTTCCTAGGGCCCCGGTAAATATGGGGTCCCACAGGGATCTATTCTTGGGCCTTTCCTCTTCGTCATTTACATAAATGATCTATCTAGGTAGATAATAATAATAATTGTTTGCTAATGATACCTCTTTAATTTTTAAAGTAAAACGACGTTCTTTAAGTTATGACGATGTAAACAATACTCTATCCGCTGTAGTACATTGGTTTAGTGACTAATAATTGAGTGTTGAATGATAAAAAAACTAAATGTATTAAATTTACAACTTCCAATGTGAAACATGTAAAAACTGATGTACTTTTATATGGGGAAGCGCTAGACCCTATCGACTGAACTGTATTCCTTGGCATAACTATTGATACCAAACAGCAATAAGGCCTCCATATTAATAGACTGGCGAGTAGACTTAGCTCAGCAGCTTTCGCGGTCAAAAAATAAAACAGTTAACTGATGTAGATACGGCTCGCTTGGTCTGTTTTAGTTATTTCCACAGTATAATGTCTTATGGCATTCTGCTTTGGCGTAACGCGGCCGACATTCATACAATCATTATCTTCCAAAAGAGAGCTATTCGTGTAGTTTACAATCTGGGCCCCAAAGAATCGTTAAGAAACTTGTTTAAAGATATAAATTTTAAAATTGACTGTTGCTTCTCAATACATTTTTGAAAATGTTTTGTATGTCCATAAAAATAAGGATAAATTTTCAAGACATCATAATGTTCATGATATAAATACTAGGAATAAACATAAATTGATCATACCCACAAGTAGACAGCGTAAAATAAGTAAATCTTTTATGGGATAATGTATACGTTACTACAACAAAATGCCAGAAAACGTTCAAAATGCATCAATAGCTAAATTTAAAAGAATAGTAAAAGAACGTTTGTGTGTTAAAGGCTATAATAATATTAATGATTATTTAAATGATCACACACTCTGGTAATAAAGTATTGCTCCAGGCTCTTTCAATCAGAGTTCTTATATTGTATTTGTAATGAATTCATGTCAAACTGCTTATATTAAAAAAATAAAAAAAGCCCGCTGAGTTTCTTTCGCCGGTTCTTCTCAGTAGAGTGGCTTTCTTTTCCAAACCGGTGGTAGTGCTTTGACTATCAATAAGCGAGTGTAATGCTCCTACGTTGAATATTAAAGCCTATGTCTTATTCTGATGTATAATCTATATTATTGTAAAGTTTCATTAAAATCCATTCCGAATAATTTGCGTAAAAGAGTAACAAACATTCATCCATATATTCAAACTTTCGCATTTATAACATTAGTAAGGATTTATAATATTAGTAAGGATATACTTGGGATAGAGTTGAGCCGGTGCCAACGCGATTGGTAATCTTTTTAAATAAAGTTATTGTCAAACGAATGCAAATGAAATTAAGATGATTATTGCAATTTTCTTGATTTTCGTTATTTAACCTACGTAACATATAGGATCTATTTTAACATTTTCGCGCTGGTTCCGCCTCTCATTTGAAATGCTTAGAGATTTTATTTCTTATTTGCTACAACAAGTTGTAGGTTTAAATTCAAAGCAAACTTACTAGTATGTATTGTAGTAGGTCATGATCTTGAGTGTCGCCTGCAGGAAGCCGGCCAGGTCCTTGCCATCCAGAACGCACGGGGCTGCTTGCAGGATCATTGCCTCTGCGTGGCACAGTTCTGCGTGGCCCTCCATGTCCGTCATTGTTGAGTACTTCGGCTGCTGGAGAAGTTCTCGAATACTGTTTGCGATCTCATCACACATTTTCACATTCCACTGTTCACAGACGGATAAAAGGCACCGCGATTTCAGCGTTATGTTAGCCTTTGGTCTGCATAATTGTCTACACGATTCTGTCTTAATATTCCCGATCATTATATTAGGGAAATACGTAACAGTAATTTTCGCGGTGCACAAACGTGAGAGTTATATATTTGTGTTATAATGCAATGAAATAAATTCGCGACAAAACTATATAAGCCATAAACAGAAAAGGAATAATTTAAATTACATAAAATTAAAGATAAATTTAAATCAAACATTTTATTCTAATTCATTCTATTTATTCTTAATTTATAAATACTACTATTCTATGTTTCTTTTTATCTAAATCACATTTTGATTGGAAAAAATAAAAAAATTGCGGTTCTCACGCGACAGATAATGAGGGTCTCCAAACCGAAGGCGTTCTATAAACTAAACATTAAAATGAATCACACATGCGACGGATTTAAGAATAGTCAAATAAGAAATACCTAAAGTGAATTCGCCAGTAAGTGCCAACGCAACTCACAAACAATTCGCCGGGCAGACGCTTGGAGCGGCCGTGGCTACGTACCTTCTTGATCATGGTGCCGAGGGTCTCCACGAGGGTGTGCGAGCGGCGGTGTTGTTGGCAGAGCGTGTGCGCACGCTTCAGGGCCGCCAGGGCGCGTGCCACTTGAGCCAAGTTCAACGTTAGCAGCGCTAAAAGGAATTCGGATATGTTGACGGCCAGGCTGTTGTGGTACAGCCAAGTGTGGCTCTACTAATCTTTGTTCAACAGTATCCAACAGAACGGTAAAAGTAAAGCATTTACCCCTCTGTTTGTTACCTTCTTAATGTAAAAAGAGAATTTTACTTACCATAATTGCAAGCTATTCATAATTCTTATCATGTCGTCGCTGAGGGTTGGCAGTATGTAGCCAGCCACAGCTCCGTGTTGATCCGTTTTGGGTCTAAGGAGGAAGGTCAGAAATAAAGTCAGCTGATATCGAGAGTGACAATCAAATAATAGAGAAAAGATAATTGCTTTATTAAAGTTATGAAAACAGCTGATAGTCCCCTGCTGTTCAGTTTGTGATTGTATGGTTTTGAAGTCTAAAGTAAAACGAAAGAACACTTTTCGGATATTATACTCACTCGGCTGGTTCTTCGGCGGCATCCTTGAAATTATCCTGCGATAAAAAACAAACACTTCGATTAAATAAACCCGAATATGTACCACTGTTGCATAGAATTTAGAAATATATATATATATATATATATATATATATATATATATATATATATATATATATATATATATATATATATATATATATAAGTATATATACATATTTAATTAGTTCATTTATACTTTTGGCGCGCTTGTAAAAATTACGAGCGTGAAATATTCACGATGCGCGCACACACCGACAGCCAGAAAGCGACACGATGAAGTTGGTTGCGAAGCGACCAACTTACAGTTGTTGCAGTAGCAACGCTGCTTTCGCACACGAGTACACCGTACGGGATCAAGAGCTCTCTTCAATGAGACGCCCCGCGTACCCCGCCGCCTCGCGCCAGTCCAACATCATGCTACACAAAACATCCAATTAAGTGTCGCATGCACCAAATAAGTATCTACTCTAATGAACAAAATTAAATGAAAAACATACGAGAAAAATTATATAATCGTAACAAAACATAAGTCACCATTTCAATGTACGCGTATCAATAACGAGAACTTAATATGGTTGCTATTGAACAAATTACAATAATAAATATAATGTTATGTCTTTTCATAGTTCATCAATTATTTCTGATAAAAATAAATAATATTATATAACGAGGTACTTGTATATCTCAAGTAAAAAGTTTACAAAAAAAAATAAATGCTAAAAAAAAACTTTAAAAAAAAAAGATTTTATTTAATTGCCCTAAAAAACAAAAATTAAACATTAAACTAAATCAAACCAATCATAAATTGATTAACCAATAAATGTACATGTATTACACAATTTATTAATTGATATTATAACACCTTTATCTCAAAATTTCACTTTGAGATAAAGGTGACCACGATTTTTAAATAAATGATAACTAATGAAAAAAAAACAACTCAACAGTAACAAAACTTAAAAGAAAAACAGTTCATCAATCTAAGACAATCATGCAGTTGAACGGAAATATAAAACACTCAACAAATAAAATACACTCCAATAACAATTCTACTTTAAGCCGCTGAATGTGTGTACTGCCAAAGCGTAGCTTAAGAAGAACAGAAGAAGGTGGAATGCGCGTAGGAGATGACTGAAATGCATTCTTGAACGGACGTAAGTTATAGTTTTAATCAACGACACTTGGGAGGTGCCAGCACCGCTGGCGTGTTCACTCCCGCTCTATACGCGAAAGAACTACCGGAAGCGTGCCTTCGCAAACACGGCACGCTGCCGTCAGTACGACCACGGCGGCAACTCAAGCCCTCGCAAGCTCCACACAGCATAAGGACCCGTGCACACGGGGAGCCACTTCGCAACGCGACTCTCGCTTGGCGGCCCACGGATTTCGGAATCAAAAGGACCGGAGTGTACAGAAGCTTCTCTTACGGCATTTGGTTTTTAAGTGCGCTTTAACAAACAAGTTACCTCGGAACGCTGACAGACTTAAATGTTTCGGTCTATGATCGTCTTGTATCTTGTATTAACTGATGATTTTGCTTTCAGTCCCTAGACTATTGTATGTCATCTTAGGGCCATCGAAGTTGCGGTTCGGACCGCGACCCCGATGGCCGTCGACTGTGTTTTTAGCAAATCAGTGGCTGGGGGCGGTGAGAACCGCCTTGGAACGCGGGTGTACCTTGTGTACGCGTTGTGTTGGTCTCGTCGTGCTCAGAGGCGAGGGCGAACTATTGTGCTTGTTGTTACACTAGCTGTGGGTGTAGTGTTATCCGGCACGTGGTCTATGATTGCTATATCTGATTTCATACAAATAAACAAATGACTGTCCACAGTTGCTTGAAACTTTATGTTTCAATAGGACCTTATTCGTTGCAATGCGGCTAGGTCTAACTTAGGATACAATGCCCCTATTAATAGAATAATAACTACAATAAATCTGTACTTAACTGCAAATAATCGTGTTAAATGTTCTTCATTATAATTCTTAATTAGCAATATTGATTTTTTTTTCTATTTTTACTGCATTTTTAGTATGTATATATTGTGTCCGTTAAGTTTTTTTACCTATAATTAAGGTACCAATCGTCACTTTTTTATAAACTTGTATGTTTAATCGGTTCAGGTGTGTACTTTGTCGTTGATGGTCCGACCCGAAACTCCCAGGCACTCTCAGTGTGCACGTGCCTTAACACCAATTCGCAAATCATACATCAGGACTATAAGGCGATTGCTGCGGGAATGGCTCGGCTTTACCATTCTCTCAAATTTTGCGACGCGAAATGTAAAACGTCGGACATCTGTATAGTCAATGGCAAATAAGGAATATAAACATAATGTTTTTTTCCTCGTGTTCCCCCTATTTCGACATTTCGCTCTTTCCCCGGTGATAGTACTCGTATACCCGCTGCGGCTTATATACGTACGGAGGACATGTATAAGAGGTAAATGAATTATACTCGAACACATCGAACTCGTTAACATTAATGCAAATATATTACTTGATGTATCTTCCTTCTCCACTCGGTCCGGAACCTTGGGAATAAGAGGAGAATTTTCGAAACAAGAGTGTTACAGCGCAACTGCACGTCGACCTCGAAACACTGGGGACCAAGTACTCACGCGGTGGCCCACATAAGCTTTCAGTGGCCCAGATGCCGCAGCTGCCTCCACAAGAGGGGAGTGTCCGCTGCCCGACGGTAAGACATCGCCGCCAATGTTCTCCGGCAACGGATCGCTTGCAGCCTTCCCTCGAATAACAGAAACCATACGCCCACGAGGTACACCTGTTGGAGAAGTTCACGCGATAACAAGCGCGAATCGCCTACGATGCACAGACAACACCTTGTACGATTAGCATGTAAATTTTAGGAATGGCATGTTCCGTTTATTTTATTTTTGCGTATGGTGATTATATTTTAAAATTTTATTAACAGACCCACCTTCAGCTGTGTATCCAGGATACGATCGAATGTCGGAGTGGTGCCAGCGAAATACCTCACCACTATGTGATCCCGGATTCATCGGAGACCCGGCTCCTGGGTCCCGGGTTGCAGTTCCCCCAGACTGCTCTCCTGCGGATTGAGCTGGCTATGACGCATCTTTCCAAGGATAGCAAGAGGAGAATTTTAAATAATTAAAAATAATAATAAGAGATTGTTTCTATACTTTATTCTTTAAAAAAATATGAGCTCATTATAAATAACACGAACAATACGTCTGTCCTTACACTTTGTAATAAAATAATAGCAGTTTAATACCAATACTCCCCAAATAGTGTTGTAGTGTGTAATAGTGTAATATTTAGAAGAATTGACGTCCTTTACATGCATTTAAATATCCCGTGATAGGCTTTGAGAGACATTTACCTACTCTATCTTCTAAACTTATATTTAGTATATATATATATATATATATATATATATATATATATATAATCGGAAACGGCTCGGAAAATTTCGTTTTATAATGAAAAATATCATTCGAATATGACGGTACATGACGGTATAATTGCTTTATTTGCCGCAAAAAAAAATCTTTTAATAGCTCGGTCGGTAATCGGGCGGCCCCAAAACAGACGGCCGCGGTTCGTATCACGATCATTTACACACTTATTTTTTTTACTTTTTTTCTATACCAGATCATTGCTTTCTCTATTTTTTTTATTTCCGAAATACATGATTTACAAAAAAGAGCTGCGCTGCTTGCGGAAGGCAAAACAATTTCACATAAATTTACGCTTCCTAGCAGATGCTACTCGCTTCACTAAGACGAAGGTGCTACATGTTGGGTCATATGGTATTAAACTGATCTAAAATATGGCGGATGGGTAAATAAATGTCGAGCTTGTACTTTGCTGAACTGCTGTTTGCTGAGCTGTTGTTTATAGTGGAGGGAAATTAATTTCAAAAATTCTCACTAGGGTGGCTCGTTAATGTGGTTCGAAAAAATTATCATCTAAGATCACCAATGCAGACAACAATATCAGGATACGTGGAATATGCCTACTAGGGATAGCAAAAATGCGTAAAAAAACGCGCCTTCAGACTCTGCCTCGTCGGTGGTGGAGAAAAGAGTCAATAATCAATAACTAACAATATTGCATTATCAATAATTAAAAAGATTATCATAAAAAAATGAAAAAATGTTTAAACATTTTGGAAAATCATTAATATTTATGTATAGTTATGAATACTTAAGAATATAGTATTCGTTTCACAGCGCTGTAAGCCTTAACAAATGAATATAATTTAAAAAGTTTATAGTAAAATTCTTCCTTAAAATACCATTTATAAAAATGGTCTGATTTCATTTTGTTGTAAAATAATTAGAGAAAAAGTTATATGGACCAATAGAATTCTTTTTTCTCGAGTTAACAAATTTTTGTGAGACCAATAAATAGTACGTCAGATAAACCATTTGAACCACTTTTTCCATCATGGCGGTCGTGGGACAAGGCTTGTAACCCACAGACTTGGATTTAACTTAAACTGACCCCCTTGATATATAAAAAATATAATTTCGTCCTCTGACAAATACAATCCCAAATGTAATGTATGTGTGCTTTCCAACTTTGATCGCCGTCCACTGTTTTAAGCACCGGTATTGTTCAGAAATATTTCTATTGCCTTTGTATGCCTTAGCATGGTCTGGCGAATGCGTATAAAAGCAATAAATCAATAAGTACGCTGAAGTAAATTCCGACATTCAAATCGCACTGACCTTGTCGCCCGAATACCCCACGAACTCCAGGAGAGTAACCAGCCGAGGTGGAAGCATCGCTATCATAACGCTGAACGCGGCGAGGCCCATACGAACGCCGGAGTGAAAATGTAGGCGTTACTATTTCATTTCTCTCTATTTCCCTAATATTCTGGAGCTTTCTCTGGGACAAAAGAAGAGCAAACAATAAGTTAGTCAGTTATCTTTAATGAAGAACTACTTAAAACTGCCCTCAACCAACCTCCGTATACATAATCCGTATTATTAAATATAATCCGTATAAATAATATACTTTCGCGTTTCGGTCACTGAGTGAGATAACCTTGACCCACATTTATGACCATTGCGTCTGCAACCACTCAGGTTTTGTGGTGGCAGTCATTTAAAATCTCGTGAACGGCCAGCTTGGTTGCCATTTTCTAGTACTAAACAACAACTAATAATAAATGAAGTGCAAACTACATTACTTCCTCTTCCATTTCCGCCAATAGTATTCTTTCGAAATCTTGACGGACATTGCCAGGGCAACTTTCTCCTTCGCGAACTATGGTCCGCTGCTCTCCCCGCCGGTGGCGGCGACGGCGGCCTCTCTTTCTTGGAATCCCTCCTTGAGTGTCGTGCGTGGGTCCCCGAGATTTCGCGAAGCCGTATGAGGACTGCAACAATACAAAGGCAATGTGTTATTGACAGGTTCATAATCACATTCGTAGACTTCCCAAATTATGGTGAAACAGAAAGTTTGTGACAACTATGCGTTTGTGCAAGGATTACGTATTGCATTTTCTCTTAGATCATGCAGCATTCTCTGAGACAAAAGAAGATGAACAATAAGTTATCTTTAATGAAGAACTACTTTAAACTACCTCAACACACCTCCATATCATAGCAGTAACTTTACTGTAAGGCTTAGTTTGTACAAATATTTTTTTTATAGAAATGTAAAATTAATTAGGTTTAACGACAGGCTCCAAAAATGACATTCAATTATATGCTAACATAGAAGCACTCATCATATTATTAACGAACTATAATGTTTAAGATAAAGAAATTCCAAATAATTGCTTAACAAATAAAAACTTAAACTTAACAATAAAAAAATGAATACATGTATCACTGCTGGGCAAAGGCGTCCTCTATACAGAGGGTATCAGGGCATAGTTCACCACGCGGCTCCACTGCGTATTGGCGGGCTTTACATATCTTCGAAATATTTTTTTTTGTTAAAATTTCGAAAATATGCGGGTTTCCTCATGGTGTTATTCTTCACCGCGGAGCACGTGATACTGACTTTATCACACTTAAAATTAACAAATTCGTTGGTGCCGACACGAGAGATCGAACTCAGGTACTTAGCTATCACGGCCGCTTAACAGTAAAGCAGTAGAATTGTCACAGCTGATCTTCAGATGGAACCTGGAAAACTCATCTTAGGAAGTTATTCAGTAAACAACTCGAGACAACACATTTTTTCAGTGACCCTTCGTGTTTGGAAATTTGAGTTTCATGAAATTACTTATCTTGGCTTAAATTGATTAAATTTTATACAAAAGCCGCTTTTGCTGTTGTAAAACGGGTACGGCAATCTGGAGAAATACCGCGGCCTCACAGAAGACGGCGCGAAGTGAAAGCAATATACTTTCGCGTTTCGGCCACTGCGTGAGATAACCTTGACGTACGTTTATGATGATTGCGTCTGCATCCACTCGAGTATTGTAAATGTCCATAGGTGGAGACAGTCACTAAAAATTGTGGTGAACCTCCAACGCGGTTGTCAACTTTTCGCATAAAACAACCATTGATAAATAAAAAGCAAACGATGCTTACTTCTTCTTCCGTTTCTGTCAATAACATGTTCGTGAAATCTTGTCGGGCTGTGGCTTGGGGGCCACTCTGCTGTTCGCGGGCCATGGCCCGTCGATCGCCCCGCCGGTGGCGGCGCCGGCGTGCTTTTATTCTGGGTTCCCCTTCTTGAGTGTCGTACGACATGGATCCCCGAGATTTCGCGGATACGTGTGAGGACTGCAACAATACAAAGGCAATGTGTGATTTACAGGGTCGCAATCACACTTGCAAACTTGCCAATACTACGAAATTAAAAATGCCAGACGAAACTAAATTTTTCATTATTTTTTCGAGATTTATGACCACTAAAATGCCTTAAAAACAAAAATAATATTGTGAAACTTGGCTTCCAGATTATTATAAAAATAACCGTTTTCTTAGCTCTCCAACAAAAACAATTGTTCTTTTAATGTTGATAAATAACCAGTGGTTAATCGTTTTTACAAATCAGAAGATAAAATGAGATTAATGTGATCGATACTTTTTTCTAAAACAATTTGTGATGTTGCTTCTTTGACTTATTTAGAAAAAGCTATAAAAAGATAACTCTAAAATGGTTCACTTTTGCATAATGCATATGGGGATTAAAATTATCGTAAATAGTCACCCCTATCACCTCCGAACCCTGTATAATGTTTAAGTAATAATAATAATAAAATATCTTTATTCACATAGACGCTTGCGCGTTCTTATGAAACGTCAAAATTTTACAAGAAATTAACACGTTCGTAAGTTACCACCGGTTCGGAAAGCAGTTTCTGTTGAGAAGAGACCGGCAAGAAACTCAACAGTTGCTCTTTTTAAAAAAATCATTTTACAATATAATAGTACAGGTACAATAGTCTTGTTTTAGCCTACGTGAGTATCAACAGTATTAACCCCACACATTGGCGTCGTCAAGATATTCGGCAATAGTATAATAGGCTTTAGCCATAAGTTTACTTTTAATTTTTCGTTTAAATTCATCAAGTGGCAGACTTAATATCGACTGTGGGATTTTATTATACATGCGCACACTTTGCCCATGAACGACCTGTTTACTTTTTGTAGGCGAAATAATGGCGTAGTTAGTTTGTCCTTATTTCTAGTATTTAGTTTATGTCTGTCACTATTCTTTTGATAATTATTAATATTCTGTTTAACATACAAAATATTACAATAAATATATTGAGACGCAACGGTGAGTATATTAATCTCTTTAAAAAGATCTCTGAGTGTATTCGAGTGTATTATACTGTCCGAGCAATTTATAACATCGGAGCCCGCGATGTTATAAATTGCTCGGACAGCCCTTTTTTGAATAATAAATATTGAATTTATATCAGATGCACTACCCCACAACAAAATGCCGTACGACAAGATGCTGTGAAAATAACTGTAGTAAACAAGTCTGGCAGTGTCGATGTCTGATAGCTGCCTAATCTTCCTAATTGCAAAAACAGCGGAGCTTAACCTATTCGCAAGAGATGATAGATGGGGACTCCATTGGAGCTTTGAATCTACTGTGATTCCCAAGAATACAGCGGACTCAACAGGATTAAGGGTTACGCTATTCAATTTTAAGCTAAAACTTCGCCTTCTTACGTTGGGAAGGCAAAAAGAAGGCATTTGGTTTTTTTAGCATTTAACACCATATTATTCATGGTAAACCAGTGGAGGATACGCGAAAGTGCACTATTCACGTCGTCATAATTCGATACATTTCGGTCAACCTTAAAAATAAGCGATGTGTCGTCAGCAAACAGTACAACATCACATAACTCACTGGCATAAAAGGGGAGATCATTTATATATACTAAGAATAATAATGGGCCCAAGATTGATCCTTGTGGGACACCCATTTTCATGGGGGACCCTGCGGAATTTACATCATTTATAGATACTTTTTGAATTCTATTACTAAGGTAAGAGGCAATGAGATTGAGGGCGATGTCACGAATGCCATAATAATCAAGCTTTAGAAGGAGGGTTTTGTGATCCACGCAGTCGAAAGCTTTTGAAAGGTCGCAAAAAACACCTATTGCATCTTGCGACCCTTCCCAGGCGTTATAAATATGTTTGACAAGTGCGATACCCGCATCTGTTGTCGATCTGCCTTTAGTGAATCCATATTGCTCATTGTGAAAAATTTTGTTCATATTAAAATGTACTAAGAGCTGATTTAAAATTAGTTTTTCAAAAATTTTACTCAGAGATGGCAATATGGAGATAGGTCTGTAGTTTCCTGGATCATTTTTATCCCCACTTGTGAAGACGGGGATTATCTTACTAAATTTCATAAGATCTGGAAATATTCCAGAATCTATGCAGTTGTTAAAAATATTAACTAAATGTGGTGCAATATATGGCATTATTGTGCTCATTAATTTTATGGACATGCCCCATAAATCCCCTCTATTCTTAAGATTAATAGAATTCAAAACTTTTATAATATCATAAGTATCTACATGATTAAATTTAAATGTGTGTGGACAAAAGGTAACATTATTTCTTAAAACGTTAATTGCATCTATGGGAGATGATTTTAATGTACATGTGACATTAACTGCAATTTCTGAAAAATAGCTTTCAAAACTACTTGCAATTTCATTATCCGTTGTTATGGGAGTATTACCTATAACCAGTTTTATAGGTTCCCTGAATATCTTGGGTCTTCCAGATATACGGGTAATGATGTCCCATGTGGCTTTAATTTTATTGTTTGAATTTATTATTCTATTTCTTATATGAATAGATTTTGCCTGAATACAGACTTTTTTTAAATATTTTGGAGAACATTTGTACCCTTTTATGAAAGTTGGGGTCATGATTCCACTGCCTCATATTATATAATTCATACAGTGAATCCCTACTTTTATATATACCCACTGTTTCCCAGTCACTAAATTTTAATTTTGAATTTTTAACAATTGTGCGCGATTTAAATGTATCATTATAAGAAGATATGAGAAAGACAACCATTGATTTATAAGAATCATTAGGGTTATTGACTTCTATATTTTTATTTAACATATGATGTGCCACTTTGTCTTTAAAAGAATTTATTCTATTAGTAGTGACTGGTCTACACTTGATCTTATGTTTGCTTGTAATAACTTTTTCATTTATTGAAAATTTTAAACCAAAGTGGTCAGAGCTCAGATAATTTATAACATAATTATCATATACATTATCGTGGCAGAAAACGTTATCTATACATGTGGAGGATGAGTTAGTGACACGAGTTGGTTCATGAAAAAGATTATTAAGTTTAAATGAACTAAATAAATTTAAAAGTCGTTTACTAAGATGTGTCACTTGTAATAAATCCACATTAAAATCTCCACAAACTACTACTGATTTACTACTTGAACAGAGTTTTTTAAGTACATCATCCATTACACACTCAAACAGATCGAAATTACCTGAGGGGGGTCGATACACGCATACTATAATATACTGTTGACTCTCAACGCAGGATAATTCTATAGAACGTTCGACAGAGTGTGCTACTATATCCTGTCGATTTTTACAGACTATATCAGTTCTTACTAACACAAGAGAGCCACCGCGAATAGCATTTGCTCTTACGAACGAACTTAACAATTTATAGTTCTCTATATCTATAATATTAAAATGCTTATGTAACCATGTCTCCTTGAAGCACATGACATGGATGTTAAATCTTCTAAGAAACAGCTCAATTTCAGGTTCTTTGCCACCTATGCCTTGTATATTTTGGTGTACAATACTTAATTTAAGTGGCTTAGGTGTTGTCTCAATGTTTAGTTTAAAGTAACATTGTTTTTTGTAAAATGATTGCTAAGTGAAAATGTTCTTAGTTGTACAATGTACAACTGGGTTTTGTATATTATATGCTACTAAAGTAGCAATTATTTTCTTATAATATAATGGAAGTTGAGTTAGAATATAAGTTAAAGGAATTCCAAACAATTGGTGGTTACTCCATGACAGTCAACCAGTTGATTTGTTACAGTTTCAGATTGAACCTGACAAACTTATCTCGCAAAGTTAATCGGTGAACAACTCATGACAACACATTTTCTTTGCGAGCTTTCGTGTTTGGAAATTGAATTTTTAAGTAAATACTTACCTCAATTAAAATTTTGTAAATTTTGTAAAACAGTAGCTTATGCTGGTGTACAAACGGTTACGCTAATCTGGGGAAATACAATGGTCTCAAAGAAGACGGGCGCGAAGTGAAACATATGCTTTCGCGTTTCGCCTACTGAGTGAGATAGCATTGGGCCACGTTTTGATGATTGCGTCCACAACCACTCCGGTGTTGTAGAAGTCCATATGTGTCCAAATAAATATTTTAGGACACGCACACGTTCCTTTTACACAACATTCTCTAGTCCCAAACTAAGCAATGCTTGTACTATGGGTACTCGATTACTGATAGACATACTTAAACATACTTTTCTTTTGTAAATAAATACACATTATACATATATTTTTTTAATTTATTTAATCCAGTAATAAAGTACAATAATATAAATTATTCTCTGCCAAACTGTGATGCAGTTTGTCAGACACTAGAGAAACACTATGCTCATCACACAATATTTTTCCCTTAGTGGGGATCGAACCCACACCCTCTGTCGCAGAAGGCAGGTACACTACCGACTACGCCATTCGGGTCGTCAAAGTAGACGTCGTCAGTAACTTAAAATATGGTAAAACGCCAGCTCGGTTGCCAACTTTTCGCATAAAAAAGAACTAATGATAATTATAAAGCAAACTATGCTTACTTCTTCTTCCGTTTCCAGCTGCATGTTTGCGAAATCTTGATGGAGAGTGGTGGCGGGGCCACTCTCTTGCTCGCGGGCCAAGGCCCGATGGTCGCCCCGCCAGTGGCGGCGGCGGCCTCTCTTTCTCGGGGTCCCTCCTTGAGTGTCGTATGATGTGGATGGCCGAGATTTGTCGGATACGTGTGAGAACTACAACAATACAAAGACATTGTGTGAATTACAGCTTCATAATCACACTCGTAGACTTCCCAAAACATGGTGAAAGAGAATTTTTTATCATTAGCTATGCAAGTAGTATATATTGCTTTTTTCTAAAATATCCTGGAGCATTCTCTGAGACAAAAGAAGAGGAAACAAAAGGTTGTATTTAATGAAAAACTTCTCAAAACTGTCTTCAAACAACCTCCGTATCATTAGAGTTACTTAACTGTAAGGTTAAGTCCAAAAGTTTTTGAAATGAAATGTAAAATTAAATAGTTTTAACGACAGCCTCTAAAATTGCCATTTAATCGTATATACAACAAACAGCTGTGGATTTTGTGTGAAATAAAATAGTAACATAGAAACATCCTTACTAATATTAGAAGGTGAAAGTTTGTATGTATGGATGGATATTTGTTACTGTTTCACGCAAAAAGTACAAAATAGATTTTAATGAAACTTTCCATATAGGGTTAGAAATAAATCGAAATATCGAATGGCAACACTGCAACGGGCTATAAAACAAGCAGCGCTCATCATGTTTGTTCAGTTTTTCGTTGGTCGTTGTAGCGTGCTGAAGCTCTAGTCGAATTAATAAAGATTGTGTCGGTTACTTAGAATTATACTGGCCAATAAGTTCTTTTAAAAAAAAAAAGTTATCGTTTCTATTTCTAACAATAGCTTATACATCAGAATAGGCTATAATTTATAAATATATTATGTGAATTGTTTAAAATATAGGTAAACGTAAAAAACTCGTTATTGCTATTTGGCCGCGCGGGCGAGGCCGCGATTAACAGCTAGCTGATCATATTATTAAACGAACTACAGGGTTACCTATTGGTAATTCGAAGTATGCCCGAGCTGGTGAATAGAAACATTGGTTAAATTTTATCATTAGTAGTATTAGATCAACAATTATCGGTTCAAATTTAAAAATGCGAGACGAAACTATATTTTTTTAGATTTTTTTAAGATTTTTACCCTCTAAAATTCCTTAAAAACAAAACTATGTTGTGAAACTTGGCTTGCAGATTACTGTAAACAACCGTTTTCTTATCTCTCTAACAATTCATAACATAATTGTTGTTTTCATAACCAATGTATAACCGTTTTTATAAATCAGAAGAAAAAATGAGATTTAAGCGATACTGTTTTCAAAAAAAAATTTTGATGTTGCATTTTTAACTTATTTTGGAAAAAGCTAAATAACAAGATAACTGAAAAATGGGTCACTTTTGAATAATGCATATGGTGGGTTAGAATAATCGCAAATAGTCACACCTATCACATCCTAATCGAACGTCGAATTACCAATAACCCTGGTCAATATTTAAGGCGCTGTATACAGTATAAATAGGGTTTTAAAAGATTTTTAACAAAATCTATACATTTTATAGCAGGAAATAATATATATATTAATCTTGATCTTACATTCTTATCCGTTATTGTCTTAAAAACATATTCTCGATACATTTTCTAGATAGAAAAATATCACGAACCTACCTTTAAACGTGAAATTCAAATTAAAAAATAGATATAATAAGCGAACAAATTTTAATGAAATTAATATCAGTGGTGTAGAAGTAGAATATTTTAATAACCAGGACTGTTGTCTTAATTTGCTGATTAAAGTAAGATATTTGTAAATATTAATTAAATACATTAAAATTAATTCGAATGCAACGACCAAAACACAGCGCCACCGCGCTGAGCGCTGAGGCGCCTTGCTAGATGGAGGATCTATGCCGCTCGTCCTCGTCTCACCGTTACAAAATATGTTCCTTATTTATTTAATTTCATTAGATTTTTCGAAAACACGAAACAAAAATGTATAATCACATATTTCGTATTTTTAATTAGTTGTATGTAGAAATTTTTTAAATTGTTTATAGTGCTACTCTTTGCACTTAAGATTGAACATTATAATATGTAGAAAAAGTGCGAAAAGATTGTCGCCGCTGTAGGAATCGAACCCACGTCTTCGGCATTCGCGGCCTGACGCTCTAGCCACTGAGCTAAACGGCTGATTACCACACCGACGAAAATCTTAACGCATTCTTCTACATTGTTTTCTTAGCATTTGAAGCAATGCTTGGCGCCATCTATTGTTATATCCTTTCCAGCATACAAACAATTTCGAATATCGGTTTTACAACGATAATTCGAACGAGAGATGTCGCCATTGCTTTTTTAGAATTTTTTTTAATTGTTTATAAAAGTTGTATTCGTAATTTCTGTCGTGGGGACCATGGAATTGCTTAAAATTATTGTGAGCTATTACTTAAAATAATTTTTCGTTTATTTATTGTTTTGTTGTAAGTTTCTTTAAATTTCATTTGCCTTTATTAATTTATTTGACCTTAAGATGTATTTCCGATGTAATCAATATATGATATCAATAGATGATAAGATGTAATCAATTCTAATCCGTTTCTAAAGAAAAAAATTAATAGAAAGATTTTCTAAAATAATATATTGCTTTCTCATGTTTTATATTTGTTTGTTAATTACTATTCCTATAATAAATAAAAGTAATATGCAATCATGGTCTATTAAATATATTATAGGGATTATCTGTGCACATTTTCGATAGCCTTCCATGATACTATCGATAGTATCCTACGGCCCACCACTAGTAGGTAATGAATGATCAATGACTTAGTCACGCGGCGCGTCGACGAAACTCGCGCGCTGCGCCCCGGGGTTACCCCTCCTCCGCTTCCTCATACTTCACCACCTAAATAGTTAAAAAGTCACTGCGTACAGCGCCTTAAGTTAGCAATATATAAGCAACTTCTGCTGTTGTTCAAACGGGTACGCCAATCTGGGGAAATACAATGGCCGGTGTTGTAAAAGTCCATAGGTAGAGACAACCACTTAAAATGTGGCGAACCGCCGGCTCGGTTGCCAACTCTTCGCATAAACTACCAACTATGCAAGCAAACTATACTTACTTCTTCCGTTTCCGTCAACTGCATGTTTGCGAAATCATGATCGAGAGTGGCGACGGCGCCACTCATTTGTTCGCGGGCGATGGCCCCATGGCCGCCCCGCCGGTTGCAGCGGTGGCGGCATTTCTTTCTCGGGGTCCCTTGAGTGTCGTAAGATGTGGATCCCTGAGATCCGTGTGAGGACTGCTACAATAAAAAGGCAATGTGTGATTTTCAAATTAATTATAACACTAGCAGTCTTGCCAAAATATAGTGAAACAGAACCTGTTTGTGGTCCAGGTATCGGCATTTGTTGATGCTGAATTGGGCCGGCTCAAACCGAGGAAGTACCACGGCCTCACTGAAGAGTGGCGTGAAGTAAAGGTATTTATACTTTTGCGTTTCCTCCGGTAGGTGAGGTTGCCGGAGGCCCACTCCCCCTCGTCCAACATCATGGTAGCGGTATTAAAAAAGAATATGCCCCAATGCCCACTAGTTCTCGAGAATCCCCCACTGGGCGTCCGCGCTCAGATAGCCCAAGCCTATCAAATACACTACTGCAACCCTTACCACCCTCCCTGTGGATTTCTGGAATGTTAGGGGACTTCATTCCAATCTCAATGCCGTCCACTACCACCTTTAGACAGCAAAGCCGTACTTGCCATTTCTAACTGAGAACCAGATATCTTCTTCGGCATACACAACATATCTCTCTTATCCGGGGTTCCGGCAAACTCCGGCACGGGAGCCGGAGAATGTGTGTATATGTGTATGTTACGTGTTATACGGATAACGAGAACGGTCTGGTCGTCTCAAGAGCCTTGAAGGTTCCGTCCACCTGTCCATCATGTGACTATGTGTAGACATCGATGACCATCCTCGCTTTAAAGGTCCCATAGCGGCAATACCGAAACGGACCGACTAATCACCCACGTCCAAATGAGTACAGATCATGTGCTACAACAGATTCCAAACGCAGACATCGTGATCCTTAGTGATTTTAATGCCCATCACGTCGACTGGCTCAGCTAACATACTACTGATCATGCGGGGAGGTCTGTACACGAATTTGTCATTGCGAATGATGTAACACAGCTGTTCACTATGCCTACACGGATCCCAGACGTGTTATATCACTCTCCTTCCCTGTTGAACCTTGTGCTGACCAATCATCAGGACTACTATCAGGTTTCTATCGAGGTACCCCTTGGCTCGTCAGACCACTGTCTGGTCCGCAGCGTAGTGCCAATCGCACGAAGCACGCTTACACGCTCTGCTGGTTTCCGCCGTGTTTTAGCAGATTGGGATGGGATGCAGTCCTTCTTTGCATCTTATCCCTAGAGCAAGGTTTGCTTCTTATTGGATGATCCCAGCGCCATCGCTGACTCTGTGGCCGATGTGTTGCTTCAGGGAATGAAACTTTTTATCCCATTTTGTACGGAAGGAAGATTCCCATAGGCGGAAGATCCAATCTCTGGTTCCGTCGCTCCTGTAAAGCAGCATCTCGCCATAAGCAGGAGAGTTATCGGGCTTGGCCGTTGCTGTGGCGCCTAGGGATGTAAATACCAGTCTCTTTAAGACGGAGTACAACTTTGCCAAAGGTCCTTCAAAAGAGCAATCGCACCAGAAAACTTAGTTAACCTTCTTTCTGGAACTCGTGCATTCTGGTCTCTTGCCAAGGCTGTTCATGGAAACTTCTACTGCAACATTCAAGAAAAAGCCAAGCTGGCTTTTAAAAACTTGATGTCCTAAATTGAGCGAAACAGTATTTCCTACCGGCATATCGTTTACAGCTTTATAAAGCACAGATTCGGCCACACGTGGAATACTGTTCTCACCTCTGGGCTTGGGCAACGAAATAACAGCTCCTTCTATTTGATTGCCTTGAAACGTCAACGACCAGATATCCTGCCCGCGCGCCTCGACTCTTTGGCCTTGCGAAGGAATGTTGCATCCCTTTGCATTTTCTATCGGATATATCATCTACGCCAACAAAATCTCCCTGTATACATGATGATTTTATACATACATATTAACAGAGTATATGCAGAATTTGATTCTAAATTTGAATCTGGTACGTACTTGTGACCCCTTTTCTTTTTTTTCAAAGATTATTTTTATACTTTTTTAAACATTATAGACACCTTAAGAAATTCTTGCCTTACCGTCTCAATACTAATAACCTATGGACGAGCACTAAATCTTTTCGCTGAACTCATAGTTACTAAACCGCTTATCAATAGGGTGGCCACCCTTAACGGGATGAACAAACTTTTTTTTTTTTGTTTGGATTGATATTTTTCTGGTTATTTCTTGTCAAAATAAAATATTAATATTATTTTTCAAGTATGGAATGCTCAATTAACATTATGTCAAAGTATATACTTTGTCTAAAAATCTCCGTATGTATATATATAATTTATATATATATATATATAAATATTATATAAATACTTTTGCAAATCCGTCTATTTATGGTGGAGTTATACCCGAACATACCTAAAAAAATAAATCTGAATTGATAACTTCCTCATTTTTGAAGTTAATTAATAATATAAAAAGAGAATCCATCACTACCAAAATTCCTGTGTCCAGTATAGGTTACTAAAATAATAATCCGATTGCGATGAAACTTTCATTTAGTTGATTCGTTAAAATGTAAATGTACTAATGACGCATACGTGTGTAGGAGGTTATTATTTACAACAGCTAACCAAACAATTTGTAGCGGCTTAAGGTCAATGTAGGCTTACTTGTAAGTGTTGCGGCGGGCGGGGTTGACCTTGAGTGTCACCCGCAGCAAGCTGGCCAGGTCCTTGCCATCCAGGATGCACAGGCATGCTCGCAGAAGCACTGCCTCTGCGCGCACGCCGTACGCTTCCATATCCGTCATTGTACTGTAATGCGGCTGCTGAAGAGATTCTCGAATACAGTTTGCGATCTCAAGACACATTTTCACACTGTTCACAGACGTATATAATCCACTCCGACTTGGGCTACATTTATTCGTAATTGAAGTTACACATAGTGCAGCCTTTTCCTAGCCTTTGGTCTCCGTAATTGTCCACTATTGTGCCTTAATATTCTCGATCATTGTAAATGGGAAATAAGTTACAGTGATTTCTAGCGGAGCCAGGAGCCAGACGGCGCAGAAAACCTTGTGACATTTAAATGTCTGTGTTATAATGCAATAAAATAAATTTGGGACAAAACTGTCTAAGTATAAACAAAAAGGGGTAAGTTAATTTAGATAAAGTAAAAGGTAAAATTTGTATTTTATTCACCAGGTCTCCAAACCGAAGGAGTTCTAAAAACTAAACATTGAAATGAATCTCCTGTACGACGCAGTTAAGAATAGTCAAAGAGGTGTCAAGTGGATTCCACAAACAATTCGTCGGACAGACGCTCGTGGCCGTCGCTACGTACCTTCTGGATCATAGTGCCGAGGGTCTCCACCGGGGTGTGCGAGCGGCGGTGCTGTTGGCGGAGCAGAGCCGCCACGGCGCGTGGCACGTGCACGTGTGTGGCTCCTGGTGGATAAATTAAGCGTCCGTAGCTTGCAATGACGACGTTGATGCCTCTTGTCCCGGGAAGGCCAGGAGACATGCTACATCCCATCACGGTTACTATTATTGCGCTGGTTTAGTATTGCCCACACACAACCAGTGATTTAAAGAAAAGCCCCTGCAACAGGATCGCAATGAGCTATGCTAGGGAGGTGTAATGATATGAAGAATGAAAAACACCGTCCAAATGCTAGTCGAACTCGCGCCCCACTTCAATCTTTTTTATTCTGATTTTTAGTATTTGTTATAGCGGCAACAGAAATATATTATCTGTGAAAATTTCAACTCTCTAACTACCACGGTTCTTGAGATACAGACTGTTAACAGGCGGACGAACAGACAGATAGACAGACAGACAGGGAAGTCTTAGTAAGAGGGTCCCGTTTTTATCCTTCGGTTACGGAACTCTCAAAATTGGTATCAAACTTCTAATTTAGAAGAGTATAAGAGTGGTTATAGACAATAAAATAGAACAAAAATAAAAAAGAGTATAAGTGTTAAAATAGCTAATAAGGAAAGAGGAACGCAAAAACATAAAAATGTTTTCGACATAAAAAAATCATTTCGGGTTTAAGTGTAATAAAAAAAAAACAGGGGAATGAGTATTACTCTAATTCCCCACAGGTTCACCTAATACTATGTTATACATATTCATATTTTCAAATTACGTACATAACAAATAATATACAATGTGACCTTTCTTAACTCACTCAGGGGACAGCTAAACAAGTTTATTTCTCTGGCTATCAAGTTCAGACTACATATAGCAAGGGTCAGGGGTTCCTTTATATTGTTTCTAATTCGGCAAAAAATACGAGAATGAGTGTAATAGGATGCTACTATAGCAAATGCAGTCCCGATCCCACTGCTCACCGCGGAAACAGATCGTTACTTGTTGAATTAAAAGTTACTTTTACTGATTAGAAGTTCACTTATTTTAGTGCCGCTGGAAACGACAAAGGGCTAGTAATCTTTGTTCAGCGATATTCAATAGAAACATAAAAGTAAACAGTACGGTGGTAGGGCCACGCAGCAGCCTCGGCTGTTGCACGAATGGGCAGGCCCGTCCGGGTAAATACCACGACCTCACAGAAGTCCGGCGTAAAGTGGAAGTATGACAAATACTTTCGCGTTTCGTCTGGTGAGTGAGGTAGCCGGAGCCCAATTTTCAAAAGGTTGTCAACGCATCTGTAACCCTCGAGTGTAGCAGATGTCCATGGGCGGCGGTATTCACTTAACATCAGGTGAACCGTCTGCTCGTTTGACAACTTTTCGCATAAAAAAAAAAAGAAGTGTGATTACCAATTATTATTAAGCTACTGCATAGATTTTATCGTGGGCTTTGAGCGTGGCGACCGAATCAAGAAATTCCGTAACGAAAATAAAATCTAACACCCCCCACTCCGCCTACCATGTAGCTCGGCCGAGCGTTCGCATAACGTGTATGTATATGGTACTAGTGAAGTACGAAGCTTGCACGGATGGATATTATAATATTATAATATCATATGATTAGAACTTGTAGCAAACGTGAGAAAAGATTGTCGCCGCTGTGGGAATCGAACCCACGTCTTCGGCATTCGCGGCCTGACGCTTTAGCCACTAAGCTAAACGGCTGATTGCCACACCGATGAATTAAATAAAATCTTAACGTCTTTTATCTACATTGTTTTTTAGCATTTGAAGCAATGCTTGGCGCATCTATTATTATATCCTTTCCAGCATACAAACAATTTCGAATATCGTTTTACAACGATAACTCGAACGAGAGATGTCGCCATTGCTTTTTAGAAATTTAAAGTTTTTTATAGTGCTAATTTCTGCACTTAAGATTAAACATTGAAACTAGAGATATTCAAGATTCAGATTTGAATTGTGAATTTGGTGAGACTAATATAAGCGTGTCAAAAAAAGAATTTAACTTACCGTAATTGCATACTCATTGCGCGTTTTATGTCGTTGTTGTTGGAGAATTCCTTTACAGTTGGTTCACAATCAGCCAAAGGTCCGTGTAACCTACACGTTGTACAACGTTGGTTCTGAGGAGGAACGTCAAAATTACAGTCATGTGATAACAATAAAGCCAACAAACAGTCAAAGTCAAATTTTCTTTATTATAGGCTTAATTTAAGCTCTTATTGAACGTCAAAAAAAGCTGCATCCGGTTCCCTAAACTAGACCTGAAGAAAGAATAAACGTCAAGAAACTCTGCGGTCTTGTTATCACTTTTTTTTTATTAAAAGTAAAAGATAATTGCTACATAATTTTTGTTTTGAACGTAGCTGCTAGTCCCTTTCTGTTCATTTTGTTATGGACTGCAAGATTATGAAGTCTAAAATAAAACTATTCACGCAGTATTCAGATATTATACTCACTCGGTTGGCTCTTCGGCGGCATCCTCGAAATTATTCTGCGGGGAAAAACAAACATTTCGATTAATTATGTTATAATTAATCCCGTATATGGAACGGTGGTAGGGTCACGCAGCAGCCTCGGCTGTTGCACGAATGGGCAGGCCCGTCCGGGTAAGTACCACGACCTCACAGAAGACCCGCGTAAAGTGGAAGTATGACAAATACTTTCGCGTTTCGTCTGGTACGTGAGGTAGCCGGAGCTCAATTTTCAAAAGGTTGTCATCGCATCTGTAACCCTCGGGAGTGGCAGATGTCCATGGGCGGCGGTATTCACTTAACGTCAGGTGAACCGTCTGCTCGTTTGACAACTTCTCGCATAAAAAAAAGTATATGTATCACTGTTGCACAGAATTCAGAAATTTCATAATTAACTTTATACCACATTCATGGTTTTGCCTTCTGTGGTTGATATGTATTGTCCGTATTAATGACCCGCGAACACGCCACGTACATTGGCCACGGTGACCTTTAGGATCTGTGCATCCCTTATCATCGCGAAGCAAGGTGCTGCTCGAAATGGTGTGAGCTTGAATTGGGGTGGGAACTTGTTGGGAATGAATTTTTTAAACGTCCAGATTCGAAACAATTACTATGAGTCACACAAATAATTGACCCGTTTGAGAATCGAACCCACGATAATGTTTAACACATATAAAAATATATAACACATATGAATAAAAGAAATATAAAATAAAAAGCCTTCCATTTCTGCGCATTGAAAATTAAATTTTAACAGACTTTTACAAAATATAAGTGCTTATAGATTATGATCTTTTACAATTAGATGATCAAACCTTGAAACGAGCAATTCTTGTATATATATTTATAATCGTAATCTCGGAAACGGCTTCAGCGATTTTCATGAAATTTAGTATGCGCGTAGATTCGGGGGCGGAAAATCGATCTACCTAGGTTTCATTTTTAGAAAATGTCCATTTATCCCTGTTTTCAGGGAATGAAAAATATCTTTCGAATACGACGGTAAATTTCGCCGAAAAAAAATGTTATAATAGCTCGGTCGGTAATCGAGCGACCCCGAAACGGAAGGCCGTGGTTCGTCTCACGATCATTTACACACTTATACTTTTTTTTCGATTCCAGATCATTACTTTCTTTATTTTTTTATTTTTGTCGATCCAGATGATTTTTTTTTTTTTTTTTTTCACTTTTTTTTAAAGTCCTTTCTTTTATGAAAAACACCAGTTCATAATTTTCTTATTATTACATCGGTAAGATCGAAAAATATTATGCATATTTCATTACTCAGTTATTTGTATCTAAATGTAATTTCCAAAATACATGATTTACCAAAAAAAAACTTCCTCCAGGTACTTTATATTATGTAAATAATTAAATAATTTGTAGAAATCATTTATAGAAAAAAAATCATAATATTAATGTAGAAATTTGAATATTAAGCATCATTTGAAAATATTAATATTATTATTTTTTCTTTAAAAAATTATTAATAGTGAAATACATTTACAACTTAAAAAATAAATTAAAAGATGATTGTAACATAGCTTAAATAACTAACAAATGTATGTTTTTTTTTTTTTTATTGCCCCAGTTTGCAGTTTAGTCCCCCAAGTAATGGCAGCAGGGGTGTTGAGAAATCTCCAGAGAAAAAAACCGTGACGTCCGTCGCATTGTCCTTTCGACTCGGCGTATGTACTATTATAGTGTCAACAACGGTCTCCACGGTGAAAATTTAGTTATTTCCATAACTGACTGACTCCAATGTGCGAGATAATGAACGGCGTTCCCTATCAGCAATAAGCCGTGCTATTTTTTCTTTTACATTTTTTTACGAAAAACAATTGTTTAGAAAATACTAAAAAAGCAGTGGAAACGCCGATAGGTTCCGAGCCATAACCGCCATAAAAATTGGTATCATTTTAGGTGTCAATACGAATTTTAAATTTTTTATCTGTGCTTGAAGTCCTTGCTTTTTGCCATATTTCGTGATCCTAAGTCAACGGGAACTACCATATTGGTTTTTGACATAAAACCTATAAGAGTACATCCGGTTGACATAGAATTGTCAATTTTTTTAAAAGCAAGGTCTTATGGAAAAATTCAGAAAAATTAAAAATTTGTAAATTCAGGTATGTTTTGGTACTTTTATGGCCGTTTTTGTTGACTCTATCTTATTTTTATACACCTATTAGAGACCATAGAGTCAGTGTCTGGTATAAATTTCAACTTGCTAGGTCCACCCGTTCCTGAGAAAATCAGTGGTGACAAACGGAGACAGGGACAAGAGGTCATCTTATCTTCTTATCTTTTGAGATACGGAACCTTAAAATAAAATATCAAATACAATGAGAAGTAAGCAACACAATTTCTGAACTACAAAGCAAAATTAGTAATATCCGAAATCATAGCCTAACCAAATCAATGTTCTATCTATATTCCTAACCAGAGGCTCATTTGATCCGTTGGTCATCCTAGGCATTATATAGATTCTCTAATCGTAGTGAAGCACAAAAACTAAACGAAGTAAATTAAAATTAGAATAAAAACAATATGGTCAGTTCATGATATCTGACCATGATGCCGTAGAATGGTACCTCTTCATCACGCCCGCTTTGTTTTTCTTTTTTTTTATGGAGAAATGCTTGATGTCTTATAATTTTTTTTGAATATCGTCTATGCGAAGAAGTGAGGCTACTAAAAAATCCCGCTAATTTGCACGTAATCCCGCACTTATAAGATGGCAACGCATCTGCAACCCTACGGATGTTGCAAATCTTAGGTAGGTATATAGTATTTTTCAAATTCTCTTCAAATACAAGATAACTAAAGCCATAACAAGTATTACCCTTGACTAACTCACCTACAACTATAAAAGACAAATGAAAACTAGATCGGTTATCATTTGAACGACTCTAGGGCAATGACTTGATTTAATAGGTGACTTAGGACATGATAATGGGTCGAATATTTGAAATTCTTCTGAGTTATAGAACTATGACTATAATTAAATATAAAGATGGAGGGCGGAGGCCGCGAGAAGCGAACTTCGCAGTGGCGCCGCCCGGGGGCGTCCTTGCTTGCACATGCGCCAATGCATCGATCGATGCAGCTATATGCCCGGGGAGTGTAAGTTATGTATATAGAAATGTTGGCAAAAATGTTGTAAGTTCAACCATATCCCGATCTATTTTGAGTTCGCAATTCGTTTTAAATATTATTTTTCTTCACACGCAAAGTAATAAGAAAAAATAGGTTTTACAGGACGAGGCTTAAAGCTAAACTACTTACCCCAAAATCAACGTCTTTTCTTCAACATTAAGTTTAATATTAAGTTACGAACATTAATATTAAGTCTTTAAGAATAATTCACTAACGGTTATAAGGTCAGGACACAAAAAGCGCGCTCTTAGCAAAGTCCGAAATCTGAACCAAACAAAGAACAATGGACACGAAGGCGCGTCCGTCGCGCGACTGATGCACTAACAGTGAGGCAAGCTACATCCGGGCCCAGGCGGACGCGCTACCTCCCCCCCCCCCTTTCCATCCCTCAACAGGGCTTACAGAAATCTAGCGTCTGCGCGAAGTGATCCCAAGCCTAGGTAACTAAATTTAAGGATATTTTAAACTTCTTGTGAGCCCGAAGTAATATTTAACTTACTCGTAAAATACATACTCTAATATAATCTATAATACACCCCGCGTGAATGCCTTTTTCAAGTATACGCATAGAACATTTTAATATTGTACACTACTGCAACGGAGACAGTGTCCAAAAGCCCAAATATTAGCGAATCGCAGCTTATTAATTTCAGTGCTCTGCAAGGAAGTATTCCTTCAACCAACCAAATTTATTCCTTATCCTTTCATCCCTTAAGGATAGCATATACAACTTTCTATCTGATACTAAATCACGATTATTATACATGGTTGTCCAGAAGGAAGGTGTATGTATATATAAATGAAAGGAAGGATGTATGTTTTATATATATCGATAGCTCCAAAGTAAACTGCGGTAAGTGAAAAAATCAAATTTTACAGGAGAGCCGTTTAAAGTATTCAGAAACATATTTTGAATCAAATATGGTAAACTACTGAAGCATTTTTTTTTGAAATTTTGAAATAAGTATTAAAATATCGTGTTATGTATGGTGCTGAGACTAATTTTTGTGTTATTTAAATATATTTCGAGATTTTGCACTTTTGACTTTTTACATCTTTGATTTTCTTATATTTCATCTTTCATTATTCCACGTAAACATGCTTTTGTGATCTTTCGCCCAAATACGAGAATCAGTATTAATACATGTCTCTATACTAAAATATGTTATTAAGTCAATCGTAACACCTATTTTTACAACACATTATATTTTTATATAAATTACGAAAAATATTATGTTTAAAAAAAAGGTGCATAAGATATAACGAAAACCAAACTTTGTAAAAAGGCAGATGGTATTTTACACCTCTATACGAGGTTTTCAGTAAATTAATAGACATAAATATAAATTTCGTGGTAATGAAATGAAATTTTAACTCCGATTTAATTTATAATTTTTTGGGCTTTTGTAAATTGCACACCTTTTTTGGTATCACTTTCGTTTAAACCGGCTAAGTTATAAATTAATTTTCGCTAAGAAGGCACGAGCACAGCTATTATGAAAGACAATCGACAAAAACTGAGTAAAACGACTGGAGTGGTGGTACCTCCGCCCCCTACAACTCCAAAGTCCCTCCCCTACAACTACGAAGGACCAATGAAACATCTACCAATTGAACGACTCTAGGGCAACGACTTGTTGCAATGGATGTCCAAGGAGATGATAGTGGGTCCAATATTTGAAATTCTTCTGAGTTATAGAACTATAACTATAATTAAATATAAAGATGGAGGACGGGGGCCGCGCGAGGCGAACAACGCAGTGTCGCCGCCCGGGGGCGTCCTTGCTTGCACATGCGCCATTGCATCGATCGATGCAGCTATATGCCCGGGGAGCGTAAGTTATGTGCTTAATAATATTGGCAAAACATGTTGAAAGTTCAATTTTTACTTTATTTCTATTCGCACTTAACGTAATAATACACAAGACGTTTTACAGGATGAGGCTTTAAGCCTTACTACTTTAAGCTAAACTACTTACCCCTAAAGCAACGTCAATGTTCTTCCAAAACGAACATACATATTTCAAAAGTTTTTACGTATAATTCTCACACACGGTTATAAGGTCGGGACAAAAACAAAAAGCACGCTCGTTAGCAAAGTCCAAACAAAGAGGCGATTAAAGACGGAGCGCGGTCAGTCGCGCGGCGGATGCACTAACAGTGAGGCTGAGGCATGCTACAGCCGGGCCCGGGCCTACGATCTCCCTTCCCGCGCCCCCTCCATCCCTCAAAAGCAGAAATCTAGCGTCTGCGCGTAGTGATTTTATACCAAACCTAGCTAACTAAGGTATATATTAAACATGTAACACATACACGAACACTCCCTGCCTGAAGCCCTGAACAACTTCATCAAATATACGCTTCGAATTTAATATAGTTCAATAATTTTCAGAAATGACACACCGCGCTCCCGCGACTGACGCACGCGAATTTCCGATGCGGGAAAAAAGCCGCCAAGCTTAAATTTGACTGGGCCGGTAATGTCTGCCGCATGCCTAACACCTTTTGGGCCAAATCTGCTACCGAATGCGTCCCACAACATGTAAGACGGGCACGCGACGGGCCCAGACGGAGATGGCGCTACGAAGTGGACGCATTTGTGGGGGATTGGTCTGGTATAGAGTGGAAGAAATGGAGGGAGGCCTCTGCCCAACAGTGGGACACTAGTGGCTGAATACGAATACGAATTTTCGGAACCGTACTCTGGCCTATCTTAGATTTCTTCAATACTAACTTTTACAAAGAGATATTTTTACAATTAAATTATTTATCATGTTGAAAAATCAAGAAACAAAATATGTTACATACATGTATACAGCGTGTCGTTACAACCGAATTACGTTACCTGCAGCCGAAGGACCCAAAAAAAACCGAAACTGATTTAAAAATACTTTATTATAATATAAAAATTACAATATAATTATAACTAGAAAGGTATTGAATCTGATCGATGCTAGATCTAGAATGAATATAATTATTATAACAAAAAATAGGAAATCGAATATTGGCGAGCGCCGATTGCATCCGTTGACGTCAATGATCACGTTCCTGCTGAGTTGCGCCTCGTGCCACTGGAATGTATCGGGGCCGCTGCTGTGTAGGCTCTTTACTTATTGGGCTATGTTGTAACTACCGCAACAATAAATGAACACACATATAGAGCACAACTTTTAAAATTGTATTTAACATATTTAAAGTCTTTCAACATCAATTTTTACAGTTATCAAATTTTTCAACACAAACAATTTTAGAACACCCTTACGTATAACTCTGTAATGTTCATACAGTTCGATTATGGAACTCACTCTACAAATAACTACCATTTGTAACCAATTTACAGTCACAGGTCTGCTGGAAGAAATTTCTTAAGAAATAAGCAAGGCCTGTACAAAAGCCTTTTTACAAATTCTTTCATGTATTTACATAAATAAAATAAGAACTGTGATAGCCCTCATTGGCCTTCATCCCGTCGTAACTACTGTAGTTTTTTTTTGTATAACTGATGTTACTCTTTCAGTCCTAAGACTAAACGACGAACACAAAACCGGTGGATTAGACAGAACCCACGGGCTTGAGGCCCTCCTCAGTGGGTAGGGCCGCGCATGTACTCATGCGCGTTAATTATGACATGTGGTCTACGGGCCCTCGAGTTTCGGTGCGGTGACCGTGACCCCAATGGCCGTTGACTGTGCTTGTTTAGTAGGTGTCTGGGGGCGGTGAGAACCGCTCTAGAACGCGGGTGTACATAGTATACGCGATGTATTGATTTCGCCGTACTCGAAGGCGAGGACGAACGTATTTGTTAATATGCTGCGTGTGTAGTGTTATTTGACGAGACCCCCGACGGTGGGTCCGACGTACTTAAGTGCCCTTCCTTGACCGGGTTGGTGAGGACATTGCGCGGGCGACGATTGTTGACGTTCACGTTAGTGTCGGGTTGGTAGTTGTGAAGATGTTAGGATCTGACGAAGAATCGTTTGGTGGGATCTTTAAAATGTTCTCGAATCGTCGGGAGGCTGCAGTCACTGTGCACGTTTACTGTAGACTACGTTTACTGTAGTTTACTTTACGCACTGTAGACGCTGCGTTGTTATCACTACGCACCGGTTGCGCGGCCGGTTGCAACTTGTACAATCGAGTAAGGTTTGTGGGCCTAGGATATAATAGGTCTTTAGCAGGGTCTTATAATAATAATTAATAATAAAATTATACTAGGTCTTATAATAATAATTTGTACCTTAATGGCATTTTACTTGACGCTTTGGTTAGGTGATAGAGCCTCGATCGATTTATGAAACCTATGTTTTTTCTGGCTTTTAAGATGATTGAGTCGTAATGGGTTCTGAAAGAAAGTTTTGAGTCATACCAAACTCCCAGATCTCGCACTATGTTTACGCGTTCCAGGGGGACGTTTAAGATATTATATGAAAAAACTGTAAGATTCCTTTTATTAGAGAATGTGATGACTTGACATTTACTGATGTTTAGTGACATTTTGTTTTTTAGCGCACCAGTCGACTAACGTATAGATGTCGGATTGAACTATAGCGCAGTCCGAAATGGATTGAATACTGTAAAATAGTTTTATGTCGTCATGCCAAGCATTTAGAATTAAATATGTTAAGCAGGCCGTTTATAAAAATTAAAAACAATAAAGGCCCCAGATTTGATCCCTGAGGAACTCCTGAGTTTGCCGTGAAAGGTGAAGATTCATGACCACCAATTGCTACTATTTGAGGACGATTTTGTAAATATGAGCGCAGCCAACACAGGAGAGTGCCATGCAGCCCCAGATGTTCCGCTTTGATACATAATATAGAATGATCAACACGATCAAATGCTTTTGCAAAATCGGCGTAAATCGAATCCACTTGCCCTGACTGAACAAAGACTGTATTTAAGTAGTGCGAATAACTTAATAAATTAGTAGTAGTGGATCTAGATTTGACAAATCCATGCTGATTGGGGCTTATCACTACTCTAAAATGAGCATAAAAATTTTCATACACCAAGCTTTCGAAAATCTTTGCAAAACAACTCAAAATACTAATCGGTCTATAGTTCGACACGGACCTCCTGTCACCGGATTTGTATATTGGTACAATTTTTGTAATTTTCCATAAGTCAGGGAAGGTGCCACTGCTGAGGGATTTATTAAAAATAATACCCAAGGGTTTTATGGGAGCAACCGCACATCGACGTACAAAAATAGGCGGTATTCCATCAGGGCCCGCGCCTTTTCCTGTATCGATTGAGTTAATACAAGACTTAATATCTTTATCAGCAACATGAATAGAGGCTAAAATTGAGGTACTTGGTTTGAAGTTTGGAGTGTATATAGAATGGTTCGGAGTGCTGTAGACAGTTGAAAAAAAATCCGAAAAGAGATTAGCGATGTTCATCCCGCCCTCAGCTGATTAACCTTTATATAAAAACTTGTCGGGGTAGTTATTTGAGACCCTTTTGGATTTAGTGTATCTCCAGAATGCCTTACTATCTAAGGTGAGGTTCTCCTCAGTTCTACTAACATACAGTTTGAAAGCACTAGCTAACTCCACTTTGCATCTGGATCTTAGCATGGAAAATGTGTCAAAATCTCTCGGGTTCCTATATTGTTTATACTTGTTATGGAAACGCTCTTTGTCCTTCATCATTTTAATTAAACATGAACTAAACCAAGTAGGGTATTTCATATTTTTTGGCCTGACTCTAGGAGTATATTTCTCAATAATTTCCAAAAATGTATTGTAGAAATGCTGTACAAAATCGTTACAAGATAAATCACTAAATTGAGCCCAATCAACATTATTTAGCTCAGATATACAGGCATCATAATCTGTTTTTCGAAATATAAACCTAGATGATACGACCTCTATCAGAGCACGAGCTCTCTCTGCTTTTATGGAAATTTCCAATGGGGGATGATGTTCATCTATTCGACTCATGCCTAAAGTTCCAGTGACCGAGCATATCAAACTTGAGCTCACCAAGACAAGATTGACAAAATGCTGACTTAACTTTACCATCAAGCCGAGGAAATCCATTATGAGATTTACTCCAGTCAATATTGCTAAGATTAAAATCTCCTAATATAAGATGTTTGTCGCCATTGCACAAATATACAATTTTCACGCAGTTATCCAAGAACTCTGAGTAATGTTCGCAAGTTAATTAGGAGGGAAGATAAGCGATACATATATTTAGCCAGAAATTACGTAACTTAATACGGACCCAAAGATACTCTACAGTGGTGTTCCACTCAAATTTATGTTCGGAAATTATTGTTTTCTTTATAGAAACAAGTGTTCCCCCACCATAGCCTTTTTTTATATTTTGTCATAAAATCTTTAGGTCGGTCCCTACGATAAACTATGTATCGTTCATCAATGATTTCTGCACTGTTAATGTCATTGTCAAGCCACGTTTCAATGAGACATATTAAATCAAAATTGTTACTTAATATAGAATTATATAATTCAAGTGTTTTAGTTCTGATACCACGTACATTTTGATAATTTATGGTTAAATCAGTTAAAGTATCCTATTTATATAGGTAGAATTTATTATTATAGATTGCTAGTTTAACAAGAGACTCACTCCAGAGAAGACAATGTCTGTTTATTCTTAACGTAGATAAAACGTGATGTTTGATCTTTATGCATATATATATGGCCATTTCTGACACAAACGAATTTATAATTTAGCTCACGAGATCTGATGCGAGCTGCAGCATGCAATGCTTTATTAGCTGGTGACAAATGCTCACAGACATAAACAGGTGTTTTGTCGCCGGCGATCCCTAGGTGTGAAGTATTGAGTTTTTCATCTTGATGCGCCTTGTTAAATCTTGTGACTGCAGAATAAAACTCGTCGCGACAGCGACTGCTTCTTAATTTCACTACAATGGCTCGAGGTCTATTTCCTGTTTTAGTAAGAGGAGCCACGCGGATACAATTCATTATATCATTATCAGCCAACTTAAATGTGACTACCTGAGCTAGCTATTTTACAATATTCACAATATTTTCAGATCGATGCTCAGGTACACCTTGGATCTCAATATTCGAGTCCCTCATATATTGCTCAACAGTGTTCAGACGATCAGGGTGATGTTACTTATTGTTTCGCGAAGCTGTGCACATTCCGTTCTTAATGCTTTATTCTCCTTAGTTATTGCAATTAAGTTGTTTTTAAGATCGTCATACTGGTCGCTTACAAAGCTGACAGACGATTGAAGTGAGCTTAGTTAGTCCCT